TCCTTTTGGGTGTTTAAGACCATACTGTTGGCCCAAATAAACCAATTTATTTTTACTGTTAAGGGCGTATGAGGATTTGGTCCTCAGGGGCCACATGGGCTTGGGGGGAGCCCCTGGCTCCTCAGGCTTTTCTTTACCAGTACAGTTCCATCTGTGTGAAGATAAAAGGTCCTGCTTGACCAGGGCTTCGCTTGGAAGCATGGAGGAAATGTTTCCTCTGTGTTGACCCTCCTCTTTGCATACTGGACACTGGTTTAAGTCCATCTTCTGGGGTCTCTATGGCCTCCGTGAACAAGAGGACAGGTGACTCTCCAAAGTTACAAGACATTTCGAGAGATGCGCCATAGCCCCTGGAACTTGTTTGACCTTGGAGGGCCAGGACCAAAAATTTGTCCCTTTAAGTCCCTCTGACCAGATTAATATAGGCCTTAGAGTCTGGCTATTAAACATCCAACAAGGTTAGTTACACCAGCCTGGTACATTAATTACCATGTGCTATGGAGATAGAGCTTGGGCAACATCCTTAAATAAACACTGACTAGACATCCTTAGGCTAGTTGACTAAGCTATGACCTTAGAAATTTTAAGATTATCTGTATATTATCTTTGCCTCATTTCAAATGTATAGAAACATGATGGGTAGGTGTCGTGGGGAATGGCTGAGGTGGGGTTCAGAGGGAAGAATAAACATAGGGTCAGTGTAAAACTTATTCCTGGATTGGTGTTAAGGGAGGGGTCCTTGAGATTTTTAATACTGGTGGCCTGGTACTTGCTGTGTTCCTTGGCCAGTGTTAATTTGGAGAGATGAATCCAACCAGGTTGTCCTGAGAGCTTGGCTGCAGTCGGGGTAGACAGAATGACCAGGTGAGGACCAGCGTGGCTGGAGGGTTTCCTTCACTCCTTTCTATTGTGTGTGAACCTGAAGGTAGGCATGATCTCCAGGTTGAAGTGGGTGGTCAACCTGGCCTTTAGAAGCCTGAGGAATAATCTAGTAAGCATGTTCCCTGAGTAGTTTTCTTAGAAGGGTGAAGGCAGGTAATAATCATGTAGGGAGGAGGGTTGCTGGAGTAGGAGGTTGTTGAGAAGGAACGATCTCCCATACATGAGTTCAAAAGGACTGAGGAAGGAAGGAGCCCTTAGGGTGGCTCGAAGTTTGGTAAGGGCAAGGGGCAAAAGAGTCACCCAGGATTGGTGTAATTCTAAGGAGAGTTTAGTAAAGTGGTCCTTAAGAAGGGAGTTAGCTTGCTCCACCTTCCCTGAGGATTGAGGGTGGTGGGGATGTGTAACTTCCAGGTTATTCCCAGGGACTGAGAGACTGTGACTCAGAAGAAAGTAGTGTGTAGCATCATCTTATTAAAAGAACATGGAATCTAAATTATATACATAAGATAATGTAATAAGCTAATATTACCTGTGTACAGATTATGTTTTATGTTTTTAGGTAAATCTTCTACTTTATGTAGTTTAGAGAGTGATCTACCAAAACCTTGCTTTAGGTGGAAAAAAGCAATTGGTACATAGTTAAACATTATCGAATTGACATTTACAACCTCCAGCATAATGAGTTAGGGAAAACTGTGCTATAACCCTGTTTAGACTTTATAACTGTTGGAGTGGAAGAGATGGGAAGGATGTCCTTTCCATGAGGGGACAGAGGGACAGGGGTATCAGAGGCAGGGTCTGGAATCAAAGTAGAAGTTAGATACAGGAGGGATAAATGGGTTATTTGAGCTAGAAGCCAGAATAGGGGAGACTAGGGAATATTTGGCAAGGAGGTGTTTAAGGTTTTGGATATCCTTAAATAGAGGAGAGTTAGGGGAAGGAGAGTGGGTGATGGACTTAGAGTGGCACTGGAGAGGGGAAAGGTCGTGGTATGGAGAGGGAGTTCGAGTTTGAGAAAGGAGGAGAGATGGGTTGGGCCCTGGAATGGGAAGCAGGGAGAGTATAGCAAGGGGAGAGCATGGGGAGGACTTGGCTGTGCCTCAGGCTGGGGAGAAGGAGGAGGTTGGGGAGGGGTCCTAATCGGAGGCAGTTCATTGACTA